ATCATTATTCTTTTAGATTTGATTGTTTTCTACCACTTCTCTGAAGTTATCCTGAACGCTGCTTTTCCCTCTCAATCACAGTATTGTTTCCACTGTTTAAAAAGACAGAGAATACTGAAGCCTTTAATCAGCCAGAACCCCCACTGAAGCCAATGGGATTTTTATTGGGTGAAGACTGCAAAATATGGCCCATGTTGAAGCCTGCAACTAAAAGTGAATGTCAAGATTTGTTCATGCAATGTAAATGCCAAGTGTGAGCTTAATGTTATGAGGAGGCTTCTCTGGAATTACATTCTAAAAAAGGAAGCAAAAGAAAGGATGCATTTTGCACAGTATCACAAACTTCTAATTCAAAATGTTGACTGTTATGCCATCATTTTGGATCCAAACTGCACGATGAGCTTTTTATTAGGTAAACATAATACCTCCAGGCATCCAATGAGGTTGGAGCCCTGTTGTGCCTGAAGCTGTGCAAACACAGTAGACAGTTCTGCCCTGAAGAGTTTGCAATCTGAACAGAGAAGTCAAAAAAGCCATTATCTCCATTTTACAGATGTCCTGAGGCAAGACAAGATTTAAGGCCCTAGCCAGGAAGGTCTTTAACCAAGTGCAGTCTCACTGAAGTTGGACAGGCTACACGTCTGACTGATATTACATATCCATGGATGCACTCAGGACTAATTTAACACTTCTCCCACTGATGTGCATGGGAGTTTTGTGAATGGTTTAAATGGAAGCAAAATTGGCTCACTGCTGAGTGCTTATGAAAATTCCACTCTAAGAATTTGCCCAAGGCTACACTTGAAGTCTGTGACCTTGGACAACTAAATCTGTACATCTGAACTCAGTCCAATGCCTTCTATCTCCCATCTCCTGGCAGATTTGAATGATCTCTACTTTCCATGCCAGCAAAAGAATCCAAGGACAGGAAAACAGGTTTGCTATGGCTGTGATATATTTTCTTAATCCTGTTCACTTACAATTAAGGTGAATGTGAACTTTACTAATCTGCATTTGTCTCACTACAAAATTAATTAATGGCTTATCCTTTAAAAGGATGGAGTGGACCATTGTAGAATACTAATTTGCCACTGCAATAGTGTCAGAAATCATGTTCAACGTAAACCCTTGACGTAAAAATAATTTTAGGAGAGAGCTCTAAAAATTCTTGAGCTCTTGAAAACAAGTATCAACCATTTTAGCAAATTGTTAGGTAAGAATTATAACAATTAAATACACTACTGCATTTGTCAGCAAATAGTCCATACTGCTGCTAGAGTTCATAATAAGACTTCATTTTCCAAAGCCATGCTTTAATGGCCTAGGCCAGTGCCAATTAAAACACAAACCTCTGTGGGCCAAATACTACCCTTGGATAAGTATACACAGCTCCCATTGAAGTCAATAAGGCTAAGTCTACACTAGAAACCTCACAGTAGCATAGCTGGATGGACACATCTGCACCCATAGCAGTTCTAAGCGGACTAGAGAGAGCTCTCCCATTAACATGAGAAACCTCACAGTAGCATAGCTGTATGGACACATCTGCACCCATAGCGGTTCTAAGTGGACTAGAGAGAGCTCTCCCATTAACATAAATGAACCACCCACAAAGAACAACAGTCGTTATGTCAATGGGAGGCCAACATCCAACAACACGATGCCGTCCACACTTAACTTATGTCAGTCAGTGGTTTGTTTTTTCACAAGCCTGAGCAGCAAATTTTACCACCAAAACAGATAGTGTAAACATTGCTAACATCCAGTTCTTCACTCTCAGTTTTTAGCCCAGGATGAACTGCAACCAAATTCAATTTACTCCTGATTTATACAAGTGTGGGAATCAATTTGGGCCCAGTGACTCCAGTGAACAAATTTGAAATTGTTAAAAACACTATTAAAAGAGATCAACTGTAAAAGATTAAGAAAACCCCAAAGAAATAAGACTGCCACTTCAGCGTGTAGGCACAACAGGATATAACTTACGATCTCAGATCTACAGCAGGAAGATTCCATTATTAAGAAACAAATCAACAGCCAAAATTTTACGGTGTGTGCCAAAAGAGGGACTCAGTTGCAGAAGAATTCAACAGGATACTGAGCTTGATCATGCACTCGTCTGACCTGGTATGTCAGCTCCTATGTTCCATATGTTGACACTTAAACGTGCAACATAAGAGTTTAAGTTTGGGCTCCCATTTTTAATGGGCCAGAACATTTATTAGTCAGACTTCAATATTTTTATTTGAGACTCAGAAACTTTAGCGGATAGGTAGTGTCTGTCTCTGGGAGTGTTATCACAAGGAGCCTGGGAATTTAAATTCATAACTCTGCTAAACACTTAAAATCATGGTCTCAAAGACACTGGGTTTCTGGTTTATTACATCAATCTGTGACCCACTAATCCCCGTTTTGTTCTATGACAGCAGAGGTGTTAACAGTCCACTTCACCTTGAATGATCTCAAACAATACACTTTTAACTACTTATGTAAAGAATCTGTCCCACCTTATATTTAGCTGTGACACTGAGCACCAGAAGAATAGCTCCATATTGAAAGCCTGTCTGTTTTTAAACCAGCAAAAGTTGGTCCAATCAAAGATATTACCTGACCTACCTTATCTCTAATATCCTGGGACCAACACTGCAAACAACTTCTTATAACCTGGCAGATGGCATAGCTGGGAACAGGCAGACAATCCTATATGTTCATCTGGCAATGGGAGCAGGAAAATTGTAGCGAGTTCCTGATTCTAGAACCGATTTGTCCTTTGCTCTGACAGCCTAACTTGGTTGACCTTCAAGGTCTGTTTACTCAGTCTCTCTTTGAGGTCTTGGAGTGAGTTGGTTAATTGGGAAAGGTTTAGTTCTTTGAGGGCCAAGGAATTTTTTACTGGTGGCAATGGGCAAAAACAAACTAAGATGCAAGAAAATTGTCCATTTACCTAGATTTGAAGGACAAATCTACTCTATATCGATTTAATTGTGCACATAAATTCCTCTCATAAACCTCCAGTCATTTAATATTCTTTCATGTATTACTGCAGCACAAAAAACGTAAGAAACATTCCATCAGTACCAACTGCTAGAAAAGAGACAGCCAACATATCAATAAATGCATAAATTAAAGAACCTTGGCAGCTTGAACAAAATTGTTCATGCAAGTACTGCAAATGTGTTAATTGCTGGTCAGCTGAAGTCAGAATGGCCTAGCTGCAAAAGGGTAGTTCAGCATGATGAAGTGTCAAAAATCACAGGGAGAATGGTAACAGTAAAGGATAACAGTGAATGTTGCATTATGCATGTTACAAAGGCATTTCATTTCCTGGTGAAGCTTGCAACCAATACAGTATCTGCATAGCTAACCAATTCACAACTGTGTGCTCCTCAGTGCAGACCTGGCTTTCTAACACTCAAGCAAGTCAAACAAAAACCCGGTATAATTAATTTCATTCATCCCATGCTCAAAATATTAATCGGTTCCTCGAAATTTAAAAGCAAGATATCCTGGATGCTTCAGTTCTTAGGGGCATTTTTTAACCTTTGTTGGGTCAGAGACTGCTGACCCTCAGGCAAGTAGATTTTGTGTGCTCCAGTCCCGCTGTGGTATAGCGGGGTGCTGGAGTGCCAGCTCAGACTCCCCGATGCTGGGAGGGAAGCCCCAAGGCCTTAGGGGCCAGATCCAGGCAAGCCAGGAGCTTCAGGTTCCCCACCCCTGTTTTAAGCCCTTAAGGGCCCTGGCTCTTGAATTCCATGTACAAGGAATATTAGTTTGCAAAGAATACAGAAGCAGACTCAAAACAGCTCTTACTAGTTCTGAAGTTGTACATATAACAAGAAAGGGAAAAAAACCATCACCAGTTTATATCAAAACCTCCATGAACTACTGCTACTGACCTCTGCTATTAAAAGGCACCTCCATGGTTTAATTTACTTTAAAGCTCACATGGTTCATCATGTAAAACAATCTTTGAGCAGGTATTTTAAAACAAGGAAAAAATACTGTTAATGTCAAACACACACATAGATACACACACACACTAAAAGTTTCCTATTAGTATAGAAATATATGCTATCCACATTTTAAAAAATGGTCTGACAGAGCTCTGCAATGAAATTAAACAAAAAACTCACCCATGCACTCACTTTTCTGGAACATGCATAAATTAATATTCAATAAATAGAGTACGTGCCCCTGTGCTTCATTCGCAGCTGTGCCTGGTGATTTCAAACACTGTGAGCTAGTAAGTTATGAATCAACTTGCACTCAAAAAAAAAAAAAAAAGTTAAGCAGCCTTACAGAGCTCTCAAAGCTGTTGAGTCAATACCATATAATTATGGAAATAAAATAAATCCCTATCAGCAATGCAAAACCTCGCAATGCACTCACCAGCTATGAATATCAATTGACATACCTGAGCTCTGAGAGAATGCTAGATGGAATCCAGCATTTCAGTGCAATGCTGAAATGCTCATCACATTTCAGAATAAACACACTTTCATTTGCCTATTAAAATCAGAATCAAGGACTTCATTCGAATAAGTTACTGCCTTAACATACATTTTCTGCAGCTGATATGTGATTATGGCCGAGAACCAAGGCTTAATACTGCTACTGCTCATTCTAGCCAATGATTAATTCCATTAGTAACTCAAGTGGTTGCTCATACACAGGGCTCTTATCCCTCCTACACAGACATCTGAATAACCTTCAAAAGTGACACCAAAAATGGAGGATGAAATATTGGGAAAAGTTTCATAGTGGTTTAAAATTAAGCCCTCAATATTTAAAATCCATAACAAGCGTGTTTTTATTTCCCAGTGACCCAGAGGCGGCATGATTTGTCAACCAGACAATTTTAAACACAACTTACCCCCCATAAAAATTAGGAGCACTTGAAAGAAATAATTTGGGCTCTTTTCAAATTGAGTGTTCATGCCTGCTACAAGATTTCCCAGCTAATCATTAACTCCTTGCCTCTCATTCATTTTTGTACCTACATTTGCGAACATGATTCAAAATTCAACCAGACTTCCTGGCATTTCGTTGGGGATGCCTGCTAAGAATTCCCACCGATTTGCACTGAAGACTTCCCGAAGTTCAGAGGAAAGCAGGGGCAGAGCTCAGCGCTTCCAAAGGGAGGCGGGTTACGCGAGGAGTCGCAGCTTCCCAGCGAGCCGCGTGGGATCCGCTCCTTGCAAAGCCCAGGAGTAAGCCTGGCGCGGAGACTGGAAGCGCTGGGGAGCGGAGCGGCTGCAGAAGGGGGCTCCCCAGGAGCGGGCTGCAAGGGTTTCACGGCGCGGGCTAGCGAGTGGCCGCCGCAGCAGGGA